TCTCACCTGTCCACTCTTGACTCAACTAAAAGCTAAATATATCTAGAGAATTGTCTTCTGAGCTTTTCTTTGACACCTTCGTTTTGATACTCTGATTTCACAACCTTCGTTGTTTTGTTGCTATCAGTGATAACATAATTTTCTGTTGCATGTAACAATTTACAGAAACTTATCTGTTTGAGCTTGTAAATGACACTTGTTATATAGGAATGAATTTAATAAAGAAATGCAAGACCTACACATTGAAAACACGATATTGTAGACAAAGAGGACTAAAATAACTGAAAAGAATCCCATTATTATGGGGTTGAGGTTTAATATTATTAAAATTGTTCCCCAGTTGACTTATAAAGCCATTGTAATTGCTGTTATAACTCAGGGTGCTTTTTTCTTTTTTCTTTATTTTCTTTCCAAAAAATGACAAACTTCTTAAAATTTACGTGGAAGTGCATAGGACTCACATGCCAAAAGCCTTAAAGTTACACGTTGTAAGTTGGATGACTCACTTTTTCCAATTTTAAAACGTGATACAATGCCACACTAATGAAGATGATGTGCTACAAGCATAAAGAAAAATGTATAAATTGATGGTGTGGAACCAAGTACCCCCCCCCCCCCCATCTGCCTTTGCTTTTATAGCCAGGTGACACAGAGTTCTATTTAATTATATTATTAGTGTGTGTGGGTTTGGAGTGTGTGGGCAAGCCATGGTTCAGGTGTGTGGTAAGAGAATAACTTTTGCGGACTTGGTTATTTTCCTTGTACCTTTACATGGTTTTGGGAATTGAACACAGGTCTGTTGGCAGGCTTGCTTGGCAAGCATGTATATCTATGGAGCCATCTTGGCTCACCACCTGATTTTTTTTTTACAAGGGTAACATAATATTTTACTAGAGAAAGAGTAGTCTTTACAACATGTAATGCTAGGACAAGTAGATTTTCACAGACAAAAGAATGACGTTTGATCCCTGGCCTTATGCCATATTAAAAAGTTAACTTCATGAATAATAGATGCAGGAGCAAGTATTGTGACCTTGGGTTAAGCAGAGGTTTCTTGAATACAGTACCAAAAGAAACAACAAAGGAAAAATAAATAGACCTTCCTGAAAATTTTTTTCTTTTTACATGTGTGAGTATGTTGCTTGCATGTATAGCTGCACCATGTGTGTGTGGTTCCACAAAGTCCAGAAGAAGACATCAGATTCCCCTGGGACTGGAGTTACAGAGGGTTGTAAGCCATCGTATGAGTGCTGGGTATTCAACCTGGGTCCTCCAGTGGAGCAGCTGGTTCTGTTACCTGCTGAGCTATCTTTGGAGCTCGTATTTCCCCTCCTCCTTCTAGGTAGAACGTCATTACAGATAGATAGGTGGTGGCACTGCAGATATGGCTCAGCAGTAAAGAGTGCGCTGCCCTTGCAGAGGACCTAGGTTTGGCTTAAAGCACTCACATCAGGTGGCTCACTACCACCTGTAACTCCAGTTTTAGGGGTACAAGACTCTCTGGCTGCCACATGTGCTTATGTGTATGGAACATATAAATATAAATCATCTTCAAAAAGAAGGATAGATAGGTCGTATGTTACCTTCTCTCTGACATTTTCCACTTTGATTTTTCCCATTCTCTTTTGTTCAACTACAAAGCAATGGCCATACCATGCAAAAAAAATGCCTCACGAATTCTTGGTAGCCTTCAACAGGCATAGAGAAAGATGGCCATTTGAGCAATACTAGAAAGCAGTTTGCTTATAGAGGTGCAGAGAATGTATTTGTTGGTAAAAATACATCATCCAAGTTTGGGTTCTCTGTGGTTCATAACTGATTATTATAAAAACTGTCTCAGACATATAACCCATTACTGTTCATTTATGGAATAGCAGGGTTAGCAAGAAAGGAAATACAACCACTGGCCTGCCATCTTATGAAGAGAGGAAGTGGACAGATTATCTCTTGTGTTGGGTATGGAGGATAGTGTACTTTCAGATCACAAGACTTAAAAAGGCATTTTTTTTTTTTTACAGTGCTTAAGCTAACCCTGTGGAGTGTAGGCATAAATAGGAGCCTAGAAAAACCATTATAGGTTCTGATGTTGTTTGGGGAGTGAATTTGTGTTTAGTTTCTCCTTCCCTTATTCTGTGAAGTCCTGGGGTTTTGTCTTATATAGTTATTTTCTGTCTTTCATTTATTTATTTATATTTTTGAGACAGGGTCTCACTCTGTAACCTAAAACATTTGAACTTGAAATCATGAGAGACATGCCACCAGGCTCAGCTATATTTAAATAATTTTTATGTCTTTTTCTCAGTTTCTTGATATACTTTTCATATCTATGGATTTTACAAATGACTTTCTCATTTATGTATTAATCTCATTTGATATTTGTAGAATTGATATCTTGAACTAATTCTTTTCATTCCTCTCTCCCCCCCCTGACCTTTTTTCCCTCCCAAGACAAGGTTTCTCTGTGGTCCTGGCTGTTCTGGAACTCACTTTGTAGACCAGGCTGCCCGAGGGCTCACAGAGATCCGCCTGCCTCTGTCTCCCAAGTTCTGGGATTAAAGGTGTGTGCCATCACCACCCTACCATGATCTCTTTTTTAATTCAGGGAATTGGACCATTCTTTCCTTTGCCAATCACTGTTTTTCAAGTGCTTATGTAACTATTTGTATGATATTACCTTTACTTTTTTTCCAAATAAAATGTTTTAAGAAATATAATTCCTCAGTTTCCATGCCTTTTGTTGACCTAGTCATTCATTCTTCTCAACCATTACATTCCCCAGATATGTTTTTAAAAACATTTAAAACCATACAGGGGAATTGGAATAGTTGTAACTGAGTGCAGTGAACTTGCCGTCCGATTCCATCACTTTGTCTTTGTTGTTGTGGAAATAAGGAGCAGAGATTGGTACATTTCAACACTGCATTTTAGCTTGCACATCATTAGCTGACCTTAAAGCTCATATAGAGGTCTTTCTTTTTCTTCTGAGACAAAATTTATGAAGAAAAATCTACACAGATTTTAAGTTACTGTTGAGTAATTTCTATAGTTCTGTTTCTGTGAAGACCTTCTGCTGAGGAGACTGAAAACCTGCAAGGCTACCATCTCCAAACTCATGTTTTTCTTTATGTTCTCAGAAGTAGACTTTAAATATCATAAAACACCTTACAGCCTTCTCTTTTCATCATATAAATGCCCTTAACAGTAAAATATTTATAGTCAAAAGTATTTTCATTTTTTTTGTAGCTCATTCTTTGAGTCAATGAAAGTCTTTAGCTTGGCTAGTGGTATCACATGTGCATGCTGAAGATGACCCAAGGCTATCTCTGTTTAGTTAGAAGCTTAAAACTGTCGCCAGCACAGTGATATAGTTCTATAACTCAGGTGCTCAAGAGGGTGGGCAGCATGATGAGGATCCGTCTCCAGAGAAAAAAGAAAAGGCCCGAGCATGCAGCTCATTCATATAGTTAGTCCTTGCCTTATCTACGTGCAACCCTGGGTTCAGTCCCTAGGACTGGGCGTTGGGTTAAATGAGCTGTTTCTCAGCAGTGTATCTAGGAAAAGGGGGGCATGCAGTTTGTCATGCATTTTACACTCTGTCATGGGGAAATTTTGGGGGTAGTCATGATAGAAATTGAACCCAGGGCTTCTTCCCTGAACTGGACCCTCTCTTGGGCATATTCAATCTCAGATTAGGTTGTTTTCATCATCCTTGTTATTAAATTCTTTAAGAAGAGTTTGTCTTTCCTCTGTAAATGGGTGTATCTAAAATAACAATTGTAATAGGTCCTAGATATATTCTTTTTAAAGGAATAATTTTATTGGCATATAGTCATTGTACATAATAATGAGTTTCATTTCTAAATAAACATATATACATTTCATATACATATATATATTTTACTGTGACTGTGTTCTCTCCCATGCTTCTTCCCCTTTCTTTCCCCCCATGTTGGCTCTCTTTGTTCCTTTGAACAATTTTACTTCTACTCTCAGGTTTTATATATGTGTATTTATTATACACACATACACACATATGTAGGTGAATTTTTTCTTTTGGCCACCAGCTCACAAATAATGACACAGAAACTTACTGTTAATTATGAGAGCTTGGCCTTACCTTGGACTTGTCCTACCAGCTCTTATGACTTAAATTAACCTGCTTATATTAATCTATGTTTTACCATGTGGCTTTTTACCTTTCATTCTGTTTGTCCAACTCTAAGCTGTGTCTCCATGGTATCTCCTGTGTGCCTCGATTATCCTCTTCCTCTCTTTGCCTGGGAATCCCACCTATCTTTCCTGCCTAGTTATTAGTGTTTACCTTTTTATTACATCAATCACAGCAATACATCTTCACAGTGTACAAATATCCCACATACACCCATGTGATTTTGTGTACATAGATGTGTTCTTAGTTGTTTGGTGGTCTTGTCACTGTATCTTCAGCACCAGTAGTACCTGGCAATAGCCAGAACTCAAAAACTATTGCATGGACAGTGTTGCTTATAATTAACTTCAGAGTAACAGACCTTCAGTTACTTGTTCTGTGTATTGTGCTTTAATTGGAATTGATTTTTAAATTACACTAAAAGGCAAACTCGCCTTTCTGTTACTTTAAAGCTCAATATTAAATCTTGTTGGTATATTCTAATACTTGGGCTGAATACCTTTCCTGAAATATCTTTCATGATTGGAAATAGATTTTAGAAAAAGTCATATTAATTTTATATTGTTAGGTACAATTACAGCTTGATTACAGTTTTCTGAGCTAAGATATTCTCATAGATTGTTGTGAATAGCTTAGTGAAGTTACCAAGTTGGTAATTGATGTAAATTTAAATATTCTAAAATTCACTGAAATAATTTGGTAACAGAAAAAGGAATTCAGTCCCTGATTTTCTTGAGGAGAGATAAAGTTGCAGTGTCAAAATTGAATGTTCAACTATGCCTTATGATTATGCAAGGAAAAAATTCTAACTTACTGTTTTTGTTTATTTCAGGACTGAACACAAGTAAGCTCCTTTTTCAGAGTTAAAGAATTATTTAAAAAAAAAAAAAAACCAAGATGGGGACGCCTGGTTCTGGAAGGAAAAGAACACCCGTGAAAGATCGATTTTCTGCAGAAGATGAGGCTTTGAGTAACATCGCTAGAGAGGTGTGTACCGGGGAACACAGATGATGCTCACAGGTGCCGGGGAGCACAGATGATGCTCACAGGTGCTGGGGAGGCAGACGTTTGTTTGTCAGAAGCTGTTGGAGATTTGCTAGGAACAAGACATTATGTATGACTGGCCTCTCACATACAAATAAATCTGTCCTGGTAAAATGTTCTTAGATTTGTATCACTTCTGAATTTGATTTTCTGAGAATTCATCTGAGATTAATTTTTCATTATAATTATGTGGTTTATGTATGTTTCAGGCACCTCACTTAGGATACTTAAAATTTGGAGTTCTGAGAACTGTGTTGTGACTCACTGAGCCTCATAGCTCCCAGAGCTGCTGAATTTATTATCTATCTATCTATCTATCTATCTATCTATCTATCTATCTATCTATCTATCTATCTAGTGGCTGTTTTTTGAGAAGCCCAGGCTGGCCTCGAACTCCCTGTATAGCCAATAATGACTTTGAACTTCTAGCCCTCCTGTGTCTACCTCCCAATGCTGGGATTACAAGCATGTGTCATCATATTTGGCTTACATGGTGCTGGAGCTGGAGCCCAGGGCTTTGTACATGCTATGCAAGCAGCACCAACTGAGCTTAATCTTGCAACTGTGCCGGAGTTTTTGTGTTTAATTCTTTTAGATACTAACAGAGCTTCGAGGAAGTTTTAGTTTCTATTTGTTCATGACTTCTGGCGGGGTAAGAGGCAGTGGAAAGGATTGGGGGATGGGAAGGGACATTGCTTTTGGATTCTTTGCAGCATTTCCTGTTGTATGTGTGTATTTAGGATAGCTCTCAGTTGGGGCTTCTTCCTGAGGCTCCAACTGTGTTTCAGATTCCTACTGTAGCTGTGGATTTGAAAGGTCAAGTAAAGGACTCATTCAGCATTAGCCTTGTTTCCTTTGGACTTACTGCAGAGTGCACAGTCTTTGTTTCCTCTTGAAAGCTAGCTAGTATTTGAATTATAAATAAAACCATTTAATTGTGATTTTATTTGTATGAAATATCAGGGTAGGCATAACCATAGCTAGGAGCATTAGGGAGTGACTTCTCAGATGTATGATAATGGAACCTTCTGGAATTTGGTAATAGTGATGATTGTGTAACTCTATGATTCTACTAAAAATACTGAATTATCTACTCTAGAAGGGTGAACTACTAAAAAGTTTTCAGTCAGGTAGGTTGGCAGTGATATCTCTTTGCTATTTTAATTTGAACTTTTTTGTTGTTGGTATTTAAAAGTTATTTCTTACATAGGCTAGCCCTAGTCTCAAATTCCCTATGAAGACCTTGAAATTTGACTTTCCTGTGTCTATCCTGTTCCCCACTCCTATTGGGAACACAGGTTTGTGTCACCGCACCCTTTTAGAATTCCTTTGTATTGTGTGTGTTTGTGCACAAACATGGGGGCCAGACTTTGACGTGGAGTGTCTTCCTTAATTGCTCTTTTCCACCCTTTTATATTTGAGTGTGTGTGTGTGTATGTGCGCGCGTGCGCGCGCCATCATGTGCCTGTGAGGACAGAGGACAACTTTCAGAAGTCATTTTCTCCTGCTATGGGGTCTGGGGCTCACACTCAGATCATCAGGCTGTGCATCAAACGCTTTTACCCTCTGCACCCAGTTGCTCCCCTACTTCATGTTTGTGGGAGAGGATCTCTCACTGAACCTGGAGCTGGTCCCAGGGGTCCTCTTGTCTCTCGTTCCATTCAGTTCTGGGATTACAGGTGTGCACTGCTTTTTTATGTGAGCTCTGTGGGACTGAAGGATGGTTTTCATGCTTGCTTAGCAGGCATTTTAGTGTAGAAGCCGAGTTTTGTAGAAGAGTATTTGGAGTAACATTACCGAAAAATTGAGTAGGAGAGTATTAAAGTCATCTAAAAGTTGACCATAAAGTTACTTTAGAAGCCAGATATTTTTTTTAAAGATTTATTTAGTTATTATGTATACAGTATTCTCAGTACTCTGCCTGCAAGCCAGAAAAGGGCACAGATCTCATTACAGATGGTTGTGAGCCACCATGTGGTTGTTGGGAATTGAACTCAGGACCTTTGGAAGAGCAGGCGGTACTCTTAACCACTGAGCCATCTCTCCAGCCCCAAAGCCAGATATTTTTAAACTACAAATGATATTTTTAGAATAAAAAAAAGCAGTCCTTTACATTGATGCTAAGTATTTCTATAAGTTACATACTTTTAGGTTAAAAATTAAAATTACTGAAGTGTTTGGTTTAAAACTGGAGATGAGTTGGGGAGAGGGTTCAGTGGTAAAAGGTTGCCCCACAAACCTGACATGTTCAGATCCCAGAAGCTGATATAAAGAGCCAGCTGTGATAGCACACATCTGGAGTCCTTTCATACTTATGGTGAGATGAGAGGAGGAGGCAGGAGGATTGCCTGAAAGTTTGAGGGCCAGCTAACTTGAAGTATCTAGCACCGCAGAAATGAGAGATTTTGCCTCCGCAAAGTGGAAGGAAGAACCACTCTCAAAATTGTCCACTGAACCTACACATATGTGCTTGAGCATTATGTGTACACACCACACACATACACTGTAGCAGCGTAAACGAATGTAGACAGATTGTAAAAAAATATATATATAGCTTTAATGGAGAAATAGACTTACAGAACCACCGTTCCCGCAGAGACCAGGAAAGCAGAAGCAGCAGCTGGGAGCATGCTCGCCAAATTTATAGGCAAACATTAGCCCGAGGCGAACACGCCCCCTAAGGGGCGGGACTTATTCCTACATCTCTCCTTTTTGTCTAAATAAGACAGAACTAAACCAAATACAACTATATACAATAATAACAAATAATAAAATATAACAAACAATATTGAGAACAAAAGTTTTGCTAAACATTCTATCTCAAGGAGTCTAAATAATGTAGAGAGTAACTACAATTATATAATCTTCAACTCCGTCAAAGATCAGAGAAGGAATAAATATTACTTAACAAACAAGATATATCCAAAATGTGCAACAATTGACAGAGACAACTGACTACCTGGGCAATCACCCAAAGTTTCGTTTGCAATGTTGAGTCAACCAACTTTGGCTAAGGGCTAACATAACTGACATACCATTATTAAAGGCAAGGAACTTTTCAAAACTATCTTACCCTGTCTTGGCAGGATATGACAGTCCTGTTTTATCCATTGATGCACGCTCTGTATCTCTGTTAGTGGTTGAGGTATGGGCATTTCTTTGCCCAAAGGCCAGTTCTGCCAAATAGAAAGGCTCCAGGTGGAGTGTCTTTGGTGCTCAACATTCTCTCAGGAATAGAGCGGTGTTGCCAGGAGCAATTGTGTCTCACTATCACGAAACTCTGAGTTAGATTAAGGCCATTTTCTACAGTTCTTTGAAGAGGTTGAAGATTATCTATCTATACTAAGTATAATCTCTATATATCTAGAGAACCTGATTAGTCTGATTATAAATGACAAACTTAGATGACTATTTATCTATATAATTCTCAATATCTATCTAACTTAAAGACTAAGACAATAAACGACTGTGAAACAAATGAGGACAATGACCTCCAAATATAAACAATGTACAAATATACATTGCAATATGGTAAATATATATCAATACACAAACATTATATAAGTATCTTAATCAGAGGTAGAAATGTACACTGCAATATGGTAAATATATACTATATATATATATATATATCAATACAATATATGTCCATACATAAAAAATGTTTTAAACAGAGATAGAAACATACATGCATATAATGGTCAATATAATTTAACTTTGTATCAATATATAAGAATCAATACCAATATATTTGTCTAAAAGCAGTAACTCACAATTATAAAATCTATTATCCCATCATTCCCTTTTTTTTTAAATGATCCCTGAACTTATAAAATTCCTCCCCCAACCTCCCAACCCCTAAATGATGTCCCTAAACCCAGGGGCAAACTTTACTGGGAGAGGGGACGTCGTCCTCTAGAATTACTTCCAGCTGTCATGGGGGCGACGTTCTTTCTGGGGGATCCTGTGAAAGTAAAATGATGGTTAGATTTCAAGATCAATGTCTTTTAAAATTGCAAATAGTCTCTGAGTATTTTGTGGAGGTCTGGCCAGAATGTTGTACAAGATGTGCACCATTTCAGCTAACCAAGTTGGGATCGTCTTGTGCAGCTGGTATCCAAAACAGGTCTTGTAGTAGCGCTATCAGTATCATGACGTCATATCAACCAGGTAGAGTTGTTGTTGTGGGGCCCCATCTTCTTCCTGGAAACTTCAAATGTCACTTCAGGAAAAACTCATTGTTCATTGTAAAAAACTTAAACATTAATCATATAGACATATATAGACATACATACATATATATATATATATATATTCAATGAAAGGCATGATAGATATATTCAATGAAAAGTATGATAGATATGAAGAAAAGCAAAGATGTTTTCTAAACTCATATTTCTTTCTGTCCCATATCATGGCTCTTCACATGAGACAGAAAGTCCAGAAACTCTGGGTTTTTCTCTTACTAACAGGCTTGGAATTGGAGAGGGACTGAGCTATAGTCCAACTTCAAAACCAGCTCTACATATTTATAAAGAAATGTTTAATAAGATATATATATATATAAATTAATACTTATAAAATGTGTCCATCCATCAGTAATTAAATATTCAGGGTCCCTTAATTTCTTTGAAGATGAGTATTTTCCTGTAGAGATAAGAAAAGAACCCTGCCTCCAACCTATCTGTATTTCTTACCATCAGTATGCTCGCCATCCTTATGAAAGAATTGTTATTTATCTTTTCCAAGTGGCTTCTCTTCTTCAAACCGAACTTTTATTAATTTTTAAGGTATCCACAATTTTTCCTCACCTGTGAAGATAAGAGCAAAACCCCTTCCCCTACGTAGCACATCTCCTGGCTTCCATTGTGAGGTCAGCACATCCTTGAAATAAACTGGTTGATTTAGTTCAGTAGACTTTTCCATTATCCAATGTCTTTCTG